TATAAAAGGTAAAGAAAAAATTCTGGAAGCTGCAAAAAATTCTCAATCTTTAAATTCAATCATCATTCGTAAACGTCACGGTATTATCGCTGGGATGGAAACAATGTTAAAATTATGGTTTGATAATCAAGTTAATGTGAAAAATTGTATAATAATATAATTTGTTATACATATGTATTATCTAAGATTTTATTAAACATTTTTTTCTAAATTATTGTTTTCTTTAGTCTCCGGTCCCAATTAAAAATAATTTGTATGTATTTATATGCAAAATTATACCCCGACTTACGCGAATTCGACTTACGCGGTTATCGCTCGGTCCCACCTATCGCGTAAGTCCGGGGTATTACTGTATTTAAGTATTTTTACACTACAATAAAACTTCCCTAACTTAAAGCTCCAAGGTGCAGGAAAAAACTTTGAGTTACAGATGATTCAAGTTAGAGAACAATAGAGTAAAAACTGCCTATTCTGAATAGATTTGTATTTGTATTTTTACCTCTCTCGCATTACATAAAGAATCTTTCATAGATTTTTTTTTTCATTTTAAATAGCCTATGTAATGCCTTTCAGCAAAACATTCAATGTAACTAATAGAATCAAATAGTTTTGTAGGTAATGTACATCTTGTTGAGATAAAGTGAGAGGACCTCTTGCTTTGGATTGGAACTTTGAAAACTAGTGTTGGAGAGTAGATACCCTTAACTGTCTGAAAATTTCATGAAAATTTGATAATTAGGATCACTTTGGATAGAATAAATATTAAAATTCAAGTTGGGGGAAGTCAAAAGTAAAGTTTAATAAAATTTTAGAAATCAATTTTGTTTCATTTTGAAATGAACAAAAAAATAAAGAAATTATGGAAAGCTTCTTGGTATTTATACAAAGATAAGCACAACAATTTATTTATTTTTGTTTGTCCTCAACAGTTCACTGGTTTGAATATTTATTATTCATAATTTCCTTTTCTTTTTTAATGAACATTCTTATAAAACACCTTATCGGTATTTTTGCAATTTTCACAAATAATATCATTTAAAATCTGAAATGAATCAAAAATATTAAACTGTAACTTATTTTGATTATATTATCTAAGTCACAGATGAAAAATCTGCAGAACTTTTTGTGATTTTTAGTTCAGCCTGATAGCAATATAAAATGGTACAAAGTTTAATTTTGCTGTTACAAATTTTGAGTCATGAATACATATTTTCTATTCTTTTTGATAAAGACGTTAATTTAAATTCAATTTATATATAAACTATTTATATGTATTCTTTGCATCAAATTATAAAAATAACAGAGAAATTTCTGTTGTTAAAAATAAACTTACAAAATTAAGAGACCAAATTTTATGTTCACTTAATTTCAAAAGTTATTATTCATTCATGTTCTTGCCTGACAATGATAATATATCATCAAAAGTATTTGCTTGTATATTTTATGTTTATAAAAGCTCTTAATGCAAAAATAATTTATTTGATGTGTTGTTATAATTTATGCATCAAATTTATACACAGCCAGCTATACAATATATGGCCTCATAATACCTCTCTTACAAAAGAATCCTGATTTTTGATTTAAATTCTTACATCATTTACAATTTTTTTTAATATTCTATATACAAACTACCCTCTATTTCCTTTACCTTTACTATAAAGATTTCTATACTCTTCACTTTCTAGAATACAATACTGCCGATCAGATAGATAAAGAAACTATTGTTCTCACTAAGGAATTCAACTGTTACGCGTAAATTCTTCATAATCTTTCGTTTTAAAAAGTTATATCAATAATAAACTTATAACGATTGCATTTTTACATTACTTTTAAAGTATTATTTTTGTAATAAAANAATAAATATTTTGTGTTTTAATTATTAATTTATTATTATTACAATATTTTCACAACCACACAAATTATGCTTGATTAATGTAAAAGAAATGAGAGAAAAAATGTATAACATATATGTAAATCATTTATTTAAAAATAGAAGCAATGAATCATCCAAAATATATTGCACTAGTATATAAGCAATACATCTGCTGACCAATATATTAGAAAAACTATTATTTATGCAGCCCTAAGAACACTTTCAAAATATTTTCTATAACATTAATGACAATATACTTCACAAAGACAAAGCAAAAATAAAAACAAAACTGATTCATCAAATAATTTCTTTATATATGTCTTAAAACAGGTGAATCAGTAATATTAAGAAATTGTCAAATAATCAATTTTTGAAAAAATAAGATGATTTAAAGAAATTATTTATAAAATGACTTACATAAACAAGTATGATACAAACATTAATAATAATGATTTATATATCATATGTTATCATATACTGCTCCTATTGCTTCTGTTTTTTTTAAATTTTCTTAATTTTTATCAAACAAAATCATCTTCCAGAATGTTACAACATACTTTGTGAATACATATATGTATGCATCTGGATACATTGTGCACATGTACATACCACACACACACACACCCCATAAAAATAAAAAATAAAATTAAAAAATAATAATAATAAATTAAGTTTAAATAATAATAAAAAGATTTACCTTTAATTGATCAAATTCATGTGCTTCTGAAATTAATGCTAAAACTTCTTCTTCTGTCATAGCTGGTTTCAAACATTCATTGAACAACATTATAGTGTCATATTTGATATAAAAATGGCTTGCAGTTCTACCCATATCTGTTGAACTTAAACATCCTGATATCCTATCAAAACGTATCATTCTAGTTTTATCTAATTCCATGGCACATTTTTCAATCAATTCGGTTAAATGATTGTGAAGATATGGATCAGTCTAAAAAAATTAAACAAACAAATATTTAATTTTTATTTTTTAAATTATTTAAATATTTTCGAAGTATCAGAGGATATTACTAATCGTAATAATATATTCCAAATTTTAGAAAAAAGAACATAATTTATTTCATACATTTTTTTAATTGAATAAAAAAATATTTTTAACACTTCAAATTTATTAAAATGTATAAAATTTATATTCATATGCAATGGACCTTAAATTTTAATATCTGTTAATTGTAATCATTTCAGTGTTAATAAAATAATGGTTAAAAAGAAGACTCTATTTTATTAATTTTGGTATATAAATTAATCATTAACTGAATCATAATCATCTATAACTTATTCATTTTTTCCACAAGTATAAAATTTCCTTTGAGAAGCTTTATTAGACCATTATGAAACCAAGCTAAAATAATGTCTTACATTCAATGTTAATTAATGCAATGCATAAATGAACTCATTACCCATGCATAATGTGTATTAAAACGTCTGAAAAAGTACACTAATGTTCCATTCATTCAATATTTTTAAAAATTATTTTGAAACCAGGCTTATCAACTGTTCTTTTCTAATATTTTATGGAGCAAATACTTATGAAATGTTTTTTAACATTTGATAATTGATCAGTTCCAATTAATATTAATAGAAGGAATCTTTAGATGAAACTGGTGTTTACAAGGCATGCCACATCAACAAAAAATATATTCTTTCACTTATGTTTAAATTATTCAAAGAAATGACCATAATATTTTGTTAGAAAATACTGTTTTAACTACAGATAAAAGAAATTTATCACATTTTATAGAATTTCTGTGTAGTTACCATATAAAATTTTATGTAAGGCTTATTAATTCAAAATAAAATTGAAATATTTAAAATATTAAGCTTATTGTAGATTTTCAGAATATTACAAAACAGGTAAATAAAGTTTCTATTTATAATTTTATCAGAATCAGTTATGTAGATATGTTCTATGTTGATACTTAGTTCTAAATCATTCTGATAATTTCATATTAAAATTCTTATTTTTTTTTTACATTTTCACCCATCTTTGATGTTGTAATATATGCAAAATGACTATCAAATATCACTACATATCTTTTAGAAAACTTTTTACATCAGTAAAATGTATGTTGCAAAAGCTTTTATCTATTATATATAATTCAACATTTCATATACTTAATTAGCTTACATTTGACTTAAAAAAAATATATTTAACCTAATTTAAACTTAACTTAAAGAAGTTTCAAGAAAATACTTATTATAATCTGTTTTGTAATAAACTATTGAAAATCTACTTTTGAAAAAACTATTATATTTTTAAATTCACTTATAAGGAACATTCCATTATTTTGAATTCAGACAAATTTAAAGTAACAGTATTTGCCATCAAGTTTCAGTGATTCACATTTTTCAGTGGCTTTTTTTCTAATTGTCTGATCTTACATATCAACTATTCTATTATGAATATTTAAGCTTAGACACTATTTTAGATATGAAAATTTTTCTGGTACTTAGATTAAATAACTAAAAATTATTAATAATTAATAGAAAAATGAATAATAAATATTTTTAAATGATATCCTCAAGCATGTCTAATGTTTTTATTGTATTGAATTCTGAATTTTATAACATGAAAATTATAGATTAATAACATCAAACAAAATAAAAGATATTTACTTACCTTTTCGGCTCCATATTTTAATCCATACACTTGTGGATTGCGCCTCATTCTAATGTAGAAATAAGTATATATCAGCCATTCCACTCCTTCTTGAATATTTGAAACTGTTCCTAATGCTATCTGCAAAATAATTATTTGAATATAAATAACTTGCTAATGTAATATTCAACCCAAATTATTGAGGTCTTAATCTTTGAAGTTCAAAAAATTATTAACAATTCATTAAATTTACATCATTTTTAAATAAAATTGACATTTTACAGGTAACCCCGTATAACACGGTAGTTACGTTCCAAAAAATTGCCGTGTTATGCGAATCCATGTTATACAAAACAAAGAACTAATAAGAAAAGGAGGGTTAGGTTCCAAAAATTAAAAATCATGCTAGTATATTTTCATAATTAAGATAAATATCTTCATTAAGATTTTTTAAGTGATACATATTAATATAAATTAAACAATGTTTTCTTCGTCACCACTAAAAACACTATTAATTAACCGAAAGCATTTTCTTTTTGGCAAGTTATCCTTATTCTCTGAGCATTTTTCTGCATTATCTTCAGACCTTTTGCAAAATGTATGTAATTTTAGATTTCTTGCTTCTAGTTAAAATGTCTTTATAAATTTTCTTATATGGTGCTAAGCACTTATGAAGAATAAAGCAAGTATGGAATAAGGGGAAAATATTCGGCAACATCAGAAGTAAAAGCGTCGCAATCTGGCAACATTGAAACAAGTTTTGAGAAGAACCACGTGTATCGACAGAAAGCAAGAAGAGAAAATTTACATACTTAAGTACTAATAGTTCACAAAAATAATAATTTTCGTGAACTATTATTACTTAAGTATGTAAAAATTTATTACATTTCCTGTTGTACGAGGGTTTTACCCAATTCTCGAACCGTGTCAGAGTGAATCCGTGCTATAAAAGTACCGTGTTATACGGGGGATGGTACCAATTCTCGAACCGTGTTAGAGTGAATCCGTGCTATAGAAGTGCCGTGTTATACGGGGGTTACCTGTATATGTTAGGAAATTCAATATTTAAAAATAAATTTATAGAGAATTAAAACAACTTTTTTGTTGTTTTAAAACTGAATGGATGTTTTCTCAATACAGATTTTTGAGAAATATTAAAAATTAAAAATAATATAATTAATTCAAGAAATAAACTAGAAATCCATAAATAAATTTCTTAAAATACATTAGAAATTTAAATATCTTATTAGTTTAATATTACATATATAACATACACGTGTATCTTATATATTTCTTATAATTTTCTTGATTAAGATTAAATGCTATAATTAACAAAAATATATATTATCCAATGCTACAAGTTGTTTACTTTTGTAAACTGCTATAAAACAGATATTAATATAATCAATTCATGTAAATAATGCAATTATAGATGTTTAACATTCTAAATAAAGTAGGATGGAAACAGAAAATGTTTCCATTCTACTTTATTTGTAAAATATAAATTTCAATTGTAGAATTCCATCAGATGGCAATTATGTAAAAATAAATCTAAAGACAAAGTCTGTCCAAAAAAGGAACCACCATTTATTCACTTTCAGTGTTCCTGAACAGAAATGGTGATTCCTTTTTTGGACATGCTTTGTCTTCAAATTTATTTTTTAAAATGTAAATTGACATCTTCTATGCTTTAATTTTCTCTCTGTATGGGAATTAATAAAACACATTGCTTGTGGGTGTGTGTTTTTTGCCTCTTTTGCATGTTTTTGTATTTTATATTTTTATTTATGCATACTTTCTTTGTTTATCTATTTATGAATTTCCTTTTTTCATCCTGTTTTTACCATTTTGTTCATGTCATTTCCTGATTTTGTTGTTTGTTTGTTTTAATTTAAATGATAGTAATCAACAAAATTATGAAAATGATTTATCATCTTTTTTCAAAGTAGATATCATTTTTAAATCATTGCATATTTGTACACTACAGATATTTCATTATTTGTCATTATTTCCATGTCCATTTCTCAAAATAATAATAATAATAATAACTCTCCCATGGTTACCACCTGATCATGGTGGGAGAGCCCAGTAATTTTACTGAACTATAGAGCAATGCAGGCTGGAGCACAAGCTCCTGGTAGGGACACACATGCCAGTAAGGTCTATGGGGAGAAATGAAGTTAAGAGTGCCACACCCACATTCTGTGGAGATAATTATCATGATAGTAACCAAAGTGTGATACTGGCTCGAACATTGCCCAGGTTAACAAGGTCCATGTTCGTGGGTTAGGCAGAGGCTCACGTTCGAAAAATAGGCTCCAGTCTCCCTTGGTTACTGGTGGCGAAAGCAGCACCAGCCCAAGCATGGCTACTGCAACGCCCTCAACAGACGTGAGAAATCAACTTAGCCTTGGTGTTTCTGTGGCAATAAATCCACAGACCACAAAGGCTGGAAAACCATGCCAATGGATGAAATGGACATCAGAAATGAACGAGTTTATCATCCGTACTTCCTACACCATCACAAAACTCGAAACAAACATGACAGCATACAGACAACAACTACACCATAGATTCACACAACAATATCCTCACCTCACTGTCACCGAAAAACGGGTTGTTGATCAAAAAAGAACGATTGTACATAACAACCTTATCCCACAAACAACACTTGAATTTATCAAACAACAGGTTGCTGATCAAATACATCAACAGACAGAAACATGTAACATTAATGAAGATCACGTAACTTGTCAGGATAATCCAGCAACATACAACTGATAATAGTATTGATAATAGCACACACACAACAACTACCACTAATGATACTACAGGCACTTCCTCATCCATCACTGATAACATAGACATAAAATTAGTTAATATGCTTTCACTTATATTTCAGGATACACTCACTAAATATACAGGCACAGATCCAAACAACAGGTTGCTGATCAAATACATCAACAGACAGAAACATGTAACATTATTAATAAAGATCAAGAACCTGTCAGGATAAACCAGCAACAAGCTTTGATAATAGCACACATACAACAACTACCACTAATGATGATACAGGCACTTCCTCATCCATCACCGATAATGTAGACATAGAATTACTTAATACGCTCTCACTTATATTTCAGGAAACACTCACTAAATATAGATCCCACACAAAGATTACGAATACTAAAAATCAACACATCAAAGGTAGTAGGAAAAACACTAAATTATGTAAACACTCACTTACTACCACACTACATTCATTTAATTTCTACACTCTCAGACATTGATACATTAGTTCATGCTGGGGCAGTCATAGTAGTGACACACCATGGTCTGAAAATACAATCACAGACAGACACACACAAAACACAATTCTATCACAAGCCTGCCTGGCAGAGACGAATAGAAACACAAATAAATGACATTAGACAGCAATTAGGCAGGCTGACACAATACACTAAAAACAACATAACACCCAAATTAAAGAAACAACTCAAAAACATTTTCAAGAAAATCAAAACACACACAAAACATGAACATCACAACACACACATTACAGAATACATCGATACACTAAAACAAAAACTCGCAGCCAAAGCACGTAGACTCAAACGATACAAAACATGTACACTACGAAAACAACAAAATAAATTATTCACAAACAATGAAAAACTTTTCTACAGACAAATCAGTACCAAAACAAACACTGATACACAGCACAGTGGCACACCAACAGAAGAAGAACTCACAACTTATTGGTCTTCTCTTTGGTCCAATGCTGTTACACACAATGCTGATGCAGGCTGGATCGAGGAGGAGAACAGAAACTTGCACAACATACCAACTATGCCCTGTGCTGAAATAAACGTACACGACATTCGCTACGCTGTTAACAGAACACACAACTGGAAGACACCTGGTGTAGACAACATTCACAATTTCTGGTACAAAAAGTTTACATCACTGCACCAGGAACTAGCTAAACATCTTACACATCATCATCATCAACCCACAAGACATGCCAAAATCTCTTACTCAGGGCATCACGTACATGAAACCTAAAAACACCACCACCACAGATCCCACACAATAGAGACCAATTACATGTCTTCCAACACTATACAAATTATTGACATCCTGTATTACAAACAAAATATACAAGCATGTTGAAGAACATGACATTCTTACAGAACAACAAAAAGGTTGCTGTAGAAATCACAAGGGATGCAAAGAACAGTTACTCATAGATTCAGTCATTCTACGGCAAGCACACAAACAACACAGAAACTTACACATGGCATATATAGATTACAGAAAAGCATTCGACAGTGTTCCACACAGTTAATTGCTACATATTCTACACATGTACAAAATACATCCATCACTCATTGCATTCTTTCAAAACACTATGCAGCACTGGAGAACAACACTACATCTCAGGGTTAGTAACACTTCCATACAAACAAACCAAATATTAATTAGGCAAGGAATTTTTCAAGGAGATTCCTTGAGTCCTCTCTGGTTCTGCCTAGCCCTGAATCCATTATCCAACATGTTAAACAACACGAAATATGGCTACAATATCAGACATGAAAAAACAACATCCTTATGATCTGGTCCAGGATTTTGTTGACAAAACTGCGTCAAACAGCTGGTTAGATCGGGGATGCCTCTTTGGGGAGACCGAAGGATTCATGATTGCCATACAGGATCAGGTCATAAATACTAAAAACTAGAAAAAAAACACATACTCAAAGATACAACACTCACAAATGACACATGCAGAAAATGTCACATCATGCCAGAAACTATACAACACATCACTTCTGGTTGCAAGCTCTTGGCACAGACAGATTATTTACACAGACATAATCAAGTAGCAAATATAACATACCAAGAGCTTGCGAAGAAACACAAATTGGTAGACATTCACGAACCATACTACAAGTATATTCCACAGACAGTATTGGAAAACAACATGCACAAAATGTACTACGACAGAGCCATAATCACAGATAAAACAATTTACCACAACAGACCAGACATCACACTCATTGACAAACACAATAAAATCACGTACATAAAAAAACATAGCCATTCCAAACACTCACAATATACAAAACACATGCACTGAAAAAATTAGCAAGTACAGTTAAAGCATCTGTGGAGGATGGAAAGGGTGCTTATTGTACCTGTCATTCTCTCCTGTACAAGTGTGATACCACACACACTACACAAAAGCCTGGGAACATTACAATTGAATAGAAATACATACATCACACCAGAAAAGGCCACTATATTGAATATATGCCACATTGTTAAGAAATTCCTGAATACAGACACTGACACACTTATTTAATTTTAGTTTTGTTTTGGTTGCCATGCCTTGACTCTGGTCCGGTATAGTATACAGCCATTGGTGTATACTATACCGAGTATAACCCACTAAACCCAACATAATAATAATACTTAAGATAATGATATTGAAAAATAAAAGCTAATATTCAATATTTTTCTAATAATTTCTATTAATGCATTGTCATTTGCATCTTTCTGATCTTGTATCAAAATTTCTTTTGTTCAATCATCTACTCCATGTAAATACACAAATCTTAAATTAATTTATGAAATCAAATCATTGAATGCTTGATTACTTTCCATTTACATTTTGGATACAAAATAATTACTGTCTACCTCTAGTTCAAATTAAGCTGCCATCTTAATAACTACATTAATTTTTGAATTAAATTTAATCATTTAGAATACTCTAAAAAAAAATCAACCCATAGCAGAACTCAAACCTGCAACTTATGTTTACCATGCAGATGTGTTATCAGCAGTGTTGCCATCTGCTTCTGCTGGAACTACCCTGATTGTGCCTTCATTTTACCCTAGATTACCCTAGATTGAGAAAACTTTCCAAGCTCAAGCTCCAGCTTGGATAAAAAAATAAGACAAACGATTCTATGACTCAGATCCCTGTACTATTATCGTAAAATAATAATCAGAATAATTCTTAATTCATTGTTTTTAAAAATCTTAATAACTAAAATGTCTTAGGATTTTTAGGCTTTATCAGAGATATTAATTTACATCTGATATAAAGGTATTTGATGTTTTAGTTCAGTAATCCCAATTTGACAAACGAGTAAAATCTCGCCTGGTCTTTAAATAATCATAAAGTATATCCATAAGTCTAATGAATGCAATTATTTAACTTAATTTTAATTAATTCACTTTCTATACGTGTATCTTAGCTGAAGATAGAAAATTAAATAAGCCATTCACTTGATCTCAAACATACTTCGATATGTAACTGATCAGTTTTAAAAATTCATTTATTTACATATATATTTGCATTTTAACATTTGTTTTGAAAATTCAAATAAAAATATTTTTTTTGAATACTGGACTGTACATGCATTAGGTTACAAATTGTTTCAGTTTTCAAGAAATGTCTGTGCGATGTCTTACACAAATGTAGCTGACTAAATATTTGTTCAACAGATGCATTGGAAGCTGGTAATCATCATCAATAAAGTCAACAATTTTTCAAGATTTTGAAACAAACTCTCCAGCAGCATTTTTTAAATAAAATATTTCTGACTAGTAGGATCTGACAGTATGACATTTTGACCCCAAGTTAAGTAGAGCTTGTTTATGCCATTCATTGTCTACAAGTTCTAAATCCAACCTTAACATTTTTAAACTTTTTAAACAATACCTCCTAAGACCTCACTGTTAAATTTTGTGCATTTTCAGGTTCAAACAAAAGCAGATATGAAAAAATGTCATTACTGAAATAAAATCTGGCATAGATTTCTTTTACAAGTGTACAATAAAAACTTTTACAATAAAAGCATCAGATCACTGGGGCAGTTTTAACCTATATTTACCCTAAATATACAACTACCCTAAACAGTACCTTGAAAAGTTCAAATTACCCTAGAAACAGCAGCACTGGTTATCAGTTACACTATCTAGATCTTTGTGCACTTTTCATTTTCATGCTTATTAATTTAAGACAGGTTGAAGATTGAACAGAGATCCTGACAGTGTAATCATTAATGCAGAAGTCATAGGTTGGAGTCCTCTTCAGTGTTGATCTTTTCTTCCAGAATATTCTAAATCTTTAAATTTCATTCAAAAAGTAATATAACATTAAAATTAATACAAGATGGCAGCATATCTTTTAACAAATTGATATGTTTCAATAATTATTTTATAGCCAAAATACAGCCCAAATAATCCAGAATTTAATAATTTAATCATGATATTCTTCTGACTTGGGTATGTATGTATGTATGTATGTATATATGTATGTATGTACACATATCTGTATCATTTACATTTCAATATAAGCATTTGTAAGTTTTAGAATGAATGTAAAAACACTAAAGAATTACATAATGCCATTTTTATATTTTTAATATTTCTGTTATTTGTTTGAAATGCAGCATTTCTTTCCTACGTAATTATTTTTTTGGGATATATATTAATGATGATAGCAAATAATACTTACTTGAAAATGAATGCAAATTTAAAGACGAATAAAAATATATACTTGCTTTAAATCTTTAATTTAAAACATGAATATAAATATTTATATCATCAGAAGTATTATGTACATGTTTTCATAAGTAATCAGATGACAATTTTCCTTACCTCTGCATTTAAATTATTGGCAAGATTTTCATTAAATTTACTTTCTATTGGCAACTGACTAGTAAGAAGAGAAAGATAATGATTCAATTTATCATAAGATGTTATAATAGTTCCTTCTCCATATTTATCAAATTGTGGTCGTCCAGCTCTTCCAAATATTTGCATTACATCCAAAATATCTAGATCTACAAATTGACCATGTTTTGAATCATAAATCTCTGTACCCTAAAAACAAATAAAAATATATATATAATTTATATTGTTTTAAGCAAATAAAAGATCCATTAAATTTTTAAATGGTTATTATTTTAATTGCAGCATTTTAAATAATTTTTGACAAGGAAGAGAGCAATGTTTTAATGGTAGAATATATATTTAGTAATAAAAATAATTTGATAGAATACATTGAATTTATTATTTATTGACTGAATTGTCAGAAATTTTACAATTAAATGTTTTCCAGTTATAAAAATTTTAATGAAATAGTTTTAATTATATATCCTTTCATATTTTTAGATTCTTTAAGTAAAATATTACTCCAATTTTACTCCAATAATGTAGTAAAATTAAATGTGTTTTATTAACATTAAAAAATAAAATAATAACCAGTCAATTATTAAGATGACTAATTACAATCATAGCTATGGATATCTGATCAAACATCTTTCAGACAACAAATATAATTAAATATGCTAAATAAAAATTCACTTATTAAAATAATTTTTTTATTTACCCTTATTATAACTGTATGAGCAGGTAGATTCACACCCCAAGCAAGAGTAGAAGTGCATACTAAGACTTTGATTAAACCATCATGAAAAAATTTCTCAACTAAATTCCTATCAGTTCTTAACATCCCAGCATGATGAATAGAAAATCCATAATGAAACAATTCATACAATTGTTTATTCCTAGATTTACTTAGCTGCAATTGAAAAACATTTCAAAGATTTTAGATTTTAATAATTCATTTGAACATATATATATAATATTAACATAACATAATTTTATAACTTAAATTAAAATATTATATCACACAATGCTGACTATATAATTTGTTTATATAATTATTATTTCATTACTTTAAACATTTATATAAAAAAATGAAACATCTTCAATCTGAAATCTAAAATAAATTCAAAATATAGTCAATATTAGAGTTTACAGTGACTGTCTTTTAAGTAAAAAAGTATAGTAAATATCATAAAAATCTATATTCTGTACTTTCATTCTAATTTGTAATAAATTATTATAAACTTAAAAAATCAAATTTAAATTTGTGTTCTACATCGTTTCATTTATATACTTTGCAAGCTGAAGAAGGTTATAAAATGACTGAAAATGTTATTGAATAAAGAATAATTTTTGGTTTCCTGAATTTAGCAGTTTTACCTTTTAAATTAAATAATCTTTATTTTTTAAAATAATGTTTCATTTATTATTCAAAAAATAAAGATTATACAGATAAAGGCTTTTCTCCTCTCACTGAAACAAAAATTTATTTAATAAACTGTTCTTATATTTCTTATTCTACAACACATGATGAATTCTATCAAATTTAGCATATGCTGTAGAAAATTATATCATTGAACAATATTTCTTTAAAGCATTCAATTAAATGGCAATTTTTAATGTTGTTTTTAAAACAGCATAAACCTAAATAAAACAGAAAAATGAAATATTCAATAAAGTATTGTTCAAAACCATCTTTTAAAATTCAAAATTTCAGTTTGTGATCTGATCATATGTAGACAGTTTTAGGAAAAACATTTAACAACTTAAATTATTTTAAAAGTCAGTTTTTCTTTCTTTTTACTTTAATATTTGTAGCTTAAGTATTCAGATCATGAGTGTAAAGTCTTTTAAACTATTACTTTAATTGAAAATAAAATTATTAATCACTATTGAAAGTTAACAATTATAAGTAAAATTATTGATCACTTTCATTATTTGATTTTGTTTTTATTTAAGAAATTCAAATACTTATGCAGAACTGAACTTTATATTGTTCCATTAAACTATTAACTTAAATTTCATCATCAATTTGAAAGTCTTTCCAATTTCAGTAGAACCTCAATTATCCGGACTAATTGGGGATGAAGGTAGTCTGGATAAGGAAAAATTCGGATAATCGAAACAAATACTTTGTCTTTTAATGATAATACAACACGTTTCTTTTCGATGACATATCGATAATATTAAAAGTAAATACTGTATTTAAATTGTGATCAAATTTTCAAGAAACAAACATTCGTATTGAATTTGGACTACTACTGACCAATGCTAACAGACTACCTATTGTTTAAAAGGCCCTCTGGTGGCACAAGAAGACGGATTTTATAAAATAAAAAGCAGTTGAAACTGCATTTTTATGAATAAAAATTTGTCAAACTATTTATCGTTTTATGACGAGTAAAATTTTTTTGTCGCGTTCATGGCTTTTAAGTAATGCAAAACCTTCGAAATGCGAGGCCCTTCAGACAGCAAGGCATAAGTGGTGGCCCACGTTGCCCATGCCTTACGCCGCCCTTGGTCATAGAAATGATGTAATTTGAATATAAATTATTTATAAATAAGTATGTCAAGTTATATTTTTATTACTACGTAAAATATATTTAAGAGTTTACGACCACTGTG